TCCATTATTCATTGGTAAAAGATTAGCCCAAGGGTTGGCAGTGGGTGGTGATGACTAGCGGCCTTTCCTTTAGTCTTACACTGCTAAATTAGGGACGGCTAGCGCAGATAGCCCTTGTGTGGCTTTGTGCGAAATGCAAAACAAACAAATAAACAAACTTCCCTCTACTGTATCGGATCAAAAGTATGCACGACTATGCGCAGATATTCCTTGTGTAGCTTCGCACGAAATTATGAAACAAAAACCCATAAATTCCGAGACCATTCGTAACTTAAAGATTCATAAAGTTAGTTGAATTACGTTAAAAAGAGAGATCATTACAGAAAGAAAAGCATCATTAAGGTATTTTTTAAAACACGCACAGGGAATAAATGGTAAAAGCAACGTTTTTTTTCATCAACTGTTATATCTGTCCTATTTTTATGTTAATCCTTTTATTAACGGAAAATGAAGCATTTTAAGTTAATAAACGAAAACTTCTGAATATTAATTAGGTTATTTCAACAAAATAATAATCGATAATATATTATATGATGTTAAAATAAATAATATAGTGTCTAAAAATCCTTACCCTAATGATGATGTTTTCTGGCGTAAATAAAATTGATGGAAAATTAGGTTTCACCAACTTAATAAATAATATAGTGTCTAAAAATCCTTACCCTAATGATAATGTTTTCTGGCGTAAATAAAATTGATGGAAAATTAGGTTTCACCAACTTAATTCAGTATGTACTAAAATAATTGTGGTCAAACATTTTGCTAATAATAATATAAATAGCCTGAATAGCCCTGGTATTCTACGAAAGGCCTCGTCGGCACTAGATATAGGCAAATATAGTGTGGTTGACATATCGTATACTCTTCTTTCATACAGAAACTCTCATTAATAATTATTTAATTCCAGCATCTTGTTTTCCTTTTTGAGAAAATTCTGCATTATTTTCGCGTATACCCACTTCAAACATTAAGCTATGCATAATGTATTTGTAAATAACTGAAACGGGTGGGCAATATTAAAGGCCTTATGTCTATAAGCATATCTGTATGCCATTGTTTTGCCCAGCTGTGTGGTAAATAGTGGCCACTTTGAAATGTTGAAACTCACCATACACAGGGAACATTTTGAGTGAAATCCTTACGTTATTGGTATATTTATCAATTATACTACATCAAGATGAGTGTTCTGGTAAAGAAGAAATAAAAATAACCTGTTTAGGTATTTTGAAGCTGAGGTGGGGTGAATTGAAATGCGGTTGTAACAGGTGGGCAATATTAATAGCCTTATGTCTATAAGCATGTCTGTATGCCATTGTTTTGCCCAGCTGTGTGGTAAATAGTGGCCACTTTGAAATGTTGAAACTCACCATACACAGGGAATATTTTGAGTGAAATCCTTACGTTATTGGTATATTTATCAATTATACTACATCAAGATGAGTGTTCTGATAAAGAAGAAATAACCTGTTTAGGATTTTTTAAGCTGAGGGGGGGTGAATTGAAATTCGGTTGTCAGCGTCTCTATGTAAAAAAAAAAAATAACGTCTGTTAAAAATACAAAATAATCAAGATATTTCAGGGGGATTTTTTGCACAGGGGGGAAATTCTCCCAGTACACTTCCTTAATTCAACACCATATTTAAATTGAATATGAAAGTTTAAAAGTAATTTAAATTCAGTGGACAGACAAATGACTTGATAGATATCATGATAATTTGATATTTCCTTTCCGCTCAATAAATCACAACTTTCTTTCATTACAGGATTAAGTGCTGCCAAATGGCTGGAGGAGGCGGAAGTAGATGTAGTTGTGTTAGAAGCAAGAGACCGTGTAGGTGGAAGAACACTTACGAAACGGGTAAGTTTGAGGCTTATTAAAGAACTGTTCGAAATACAACTTATTCTTTTAAGATAAGCTAAAATGGATATTAGTAGCTTTAGACGAGATTCAACAAAACGAACGTCTAAAAAATTATTTGCCAAGCAAAAATGATACTGGAAGAACGCGAGAGTCTGTATTACATTCGTTAAATTTATAATTCATTGTAAATGTTTTAATATTTTCTGTTGCCAGATCGGATGAAAATGTTCTCTTAATCAAAGCTGTGATGAGAACCAATGGAGACAGTAAATTACATTCTAAACCTAACGTAATCTTAAGTAGGTGTTTCTGAGATTTATGATAAATAGTGTCGAGGATTTGAATGATGGGTAACATAAACATACATTATAAAGTGTAGGATTTCATATGCAATGAAATTTTATTTACATAATGTTAAAGTCATGGTACAAGGACCGTGAGACATTATACTGAAGGGTCAGACGTGGCCTCGTTGTTACCGTGCACAGATGGTTGATTTGAACATTCAATGTTCACGTTCCGATGCCGAAAAAAAAAAACGCGCTCGCGCAATGGAGCCATGGGCGCGTTATAAGAATAACGGTCAAATCTCAGTAGCCCAAGAGTTGGCGACAGTTCTTTCTGACTCTCTGCCTTCCCTCTGATATCAGTTCTAAATTGTTGATTTCTAATAATAAAGATGAAGGCGGTTGAGAAGACGAAAACTATTTTTATTTAAAAAATATTCGAACGTTCCGGAACACGCTTAATTCATTTTTAAATGAAATCTGGTATTAACCAGATAGTACGTCACTTAAAGCCTAGAGACTGTGTACATTTAGAAGCATTCAGTAGGACAGCTGGTCTATTAATCAAACCCAGCCACTCAGTTATTCATTTACATGCAGAAACCACAGATCACAATATTTGATATAACGACTTCTCTATCAGTACGACGCAATCTTCAAATCTTGAATTCCCCAACAAGGCCCGACATGGCCAGGTGGTTACGGAGCTCGACTTACATTGTGCGGGTCGCGGTTTCGAATCCCCGATGAGCAGAGAACAGATAGCCCATTGCGTAGCATTGTGTTTAAACTACAAACAAACAAACTCAGCATGGATCTAGAAAAGGCCACACACAGATACACAAAACTTGAAAACTCATAATAACATGTAACTAATATTTGAAAACAAATATATTGTTTAATAATGGCTGGAGACGGCTTGAAACCTTGTCGAAACGTTGTACATTTGCTGTTATGTTAAACTTATGTTAAAGTTTTTCTTCATTACCCATTCAAGCCGTCTCCAGCCATTATTAGTCTCAAAGTGGGTTCCTCGTCATCGAAAATGTATTGCTTATTTGTTGTTTAGCGCAAGTCTATAGAATGGGCTATCTGTGTTCTACCCATCACGAGTATCGAAACCTAATTTTTAGCGCTTTAAGTCATAAGGCTTGCCGCTGAACCATTGCAGGAGGAGGGGGGGGGAAGTAATAAAATAGGCTTAGGTATGCGAAGTTTGTAAAAGTACATATGCAAATAATGTAAAAATGGATAAAAAATGTATTGGTAATTAGGAACGGTTCTTAATTCTTGAAGGTACCCATGAAACTTATCATATTATCAGAAAAAACCTAAAAAACTCTAAATTATAATACACTAATCAA